ATTTAAGCATTTTACACTCGATTACGAGGTTTGCCCACCTATCTGTCCATTCCTAGCGCCTGGCAAGCGATTATCAGTTGGCAGCCCATATGGGCTGCCATCGTCCCAGGAGCGCATGTTGTTGGCAGCCCATATGGGCGGCCATCGGCGTGAATGTGTTAATGACCTGCGTAATCATTCCAGGGTCTCATTCTGTGAATAGAGTGCGAAGGGGAATGTGGTGCGACGGTTGCTGCCGCCTACAGAAAGATAATTTTGCAAGGGGAGAAAATCTTCTAGGTTAGTGAAATATTCTGTTTCTGCCTTTGCACTCACCTTGGAGCTTCTTCCCCAACAGACGGGATTACTTCAGGCACGGGACTACTTTAGGCTATATGCACTGTCGCAGCACACCCACCTTCTTACTGGATGAAACCCTTTTCAGCTGGATCTCTTAATATCTTAACACGTTGACGACAGCGCAGGACACATACGTCCCGCACTTTGCAGGCCAACGGACAACGCGGGACGTATGTGTCCTGCACCCAATGCATTCATTTTTTTCTCGCACACGTGATTCATTTTTAGGCTTCTTGTATTCATTCCATAGAGAAAACCTTAACATAGATAGAAACATAGTCGCTCTTAGAGTGGTCACGTGTGCTTCAAATTAGGGGAGGTTTTCTGAACCGAACGAAATCGTCAACCCAGTTGATTTTTTGTTTACATTTTCTTTTCATGAATGTGAATATTTAAAGGGTAGTGTAAGTCAATACGGAACCTCAAGTATGACAAGATATGTGTTTGGATTGCAATAATCGGTGCAAAATTGCTTTTGACGTTCATTGCAGCTGATTCTGACAAATTTTTGCTTTCAGCCACTATTATTTCATCCGACTTTCAACCAAATTTTCACTACTATATCTCTGGGGCGCTTCTACGCACTGAAAGAGACTAATCTAACTTTGTATCAATCATGTTTTATTCATTTACCATGCAAAATTCGCCTGATGGACCTGAGGCGGCGGCGCTCGCAAAATCGCGCCGGTCCCACGCGGTCAAAGAAGCCTAAACGCGCGTTGTCGTCAACGTGTTAATCGGTCAGGACGTTTCACTGCAATAGTTCCTGCCAGCCGCTGTATTCTTAGTGTAGCAGGGGATGGGCGGGAAGTTCGGCTTGGGCAGCTAATTCGCTTGCGCAAAAAGGAAGTTAGGTGGGTATCACTCTATTCGAACAGCTATAATGAAAGGATATGCTGGACGTGGTTTTTCAAGCGTTCTGCATCACAAAGCCCTTCTGTGATATAGAACCACTTGAAATTTACTCAGGTTCTTCAGTACAGATTTAATCTGTGCAGAATCTCCAGAACTGCTTGTAGCTTGCTGTCGCATTCCAAGAAAGCACCTACCTTTCCATTTTCTCATCTTCCACTGACGCACTGAGCATTAACGTGATCTGAGATAACTCAAATTTCTTCCATATCGTTCAGTTTCTGTTCCAAACAAGCCCATATTATCGTACGCAACATGCGCAAGGCAACGATTATAGATTCTAGATGGGTTTACGAAGACATGAGTTGCTCAGTGGTATGCCGATGGCAGAAAAACCAGAGGAATTCTGCAATAAAACGCAAAAAGGAGACCCCTTGTCTGGCCGTAGACCTTCGACCAAGGACGGGCAGCGGCTAATACGGCGGGCGTATGGACCAGTTGACGTTACGTGTTCGGTGGCACCACTCTAATCCATGCTCTCGTCAAGTTGCTTCACTTGTGACGCTTTTGGCAACACAGCTCGTCCAAATCACCAACTATGTGAGGCGGATCACTTTCACAGGGGGGAGGCTTCCGAAGTCCTGCTAAGCAACCCGCTCACAAGACTTCTTGACACCGAGTTATAATTCTTTCGTGGATAACTCCGCCTACTCTGGAGCACAGCCCATCGTTGTTGACCTCCCTTCCTTTGTCGAACTCACTTCCAGGACTTCTTGGAACCAAATTATAAGTTTGGGGCAAACTGCGCCCATTGGTGCACGGTCACACCACTTATGGTTATTGATCCTCCCTTCCGTTGTCGGACTCTATCCACTCTTTTCCCGGTCTCCAGCACTTCTTGGAACCGACTTGTATGTTTGGTAGCTAACTACGCCCACGTTGGCGCATGCTACGCTCCACCGTTGACGTTTGACCTTTTATTCCTGGCCAACATCTGTTCACTTTTTCCTGGTTCCTAGACTGTCTCTGAAGAGAACTGTGAAGTTTTGTGGCAAAATCCGCCCACTTTGGTGGATGCCCCGCGCACCAATGGCACTTTACCTCATTTCCTTCGCGGACCTTTATCCACTTTTTTACACGAGGTTCCTTAGAAAAAACTAATAAAACTGACAGCGACTTCTGTGCACGCCACACTCTTTGCTAACGTATAGGCTCCGCTCCTTCTCTGACCTCTATCCACTTTTTTCCGGTCTCTAAGTCATCTCGGAGCCGATTTATGAGCTCTTGTAGAAAATGCTGTCCGCTTCAGGACACGCTCCGCCCATTGTGGGCGGGCCTCCGTTCACATCATGTGTGCTGGAAATACCTTAGACATTGCTCCCCTGCACCGAATTTTTTTCTGCTCTGTAGGCTTTCTCCTAACCGAGTTATGAATATTTTTCATTGAGCACCGCTTTTTTAGAGCGCCCCGCCCACCGAGGGTGGGTCTCCTCGTCGATCTGGCTTACCAACGCACACCTATACCCACTTTTTCCCCGGTCTCGAGGCTGTTTTGTGACTGAATTTGAAATCATGGTCATCAGTACCGCTCATCTCAATGCACGCTTAGAAATTAGTTCCGATGTGTTGCACATTTTTATGCATTTTTCTGAGAAGTTTTCTTTTGATTGCTGTACTGTTGCACATCGTTGGAAAGCCCATTTCATTCTCTTTCTTGCACTGCTGTTGTATTTTGAAGGACTCGGGCCTCACTTTTTTTAAAGGTTTGAAGACGTCAAAGTAGTGGTTTGAGCAGGTTCACTTCTATGAGTTGAAATTTGGAGAGGGTGCTGTGCAGACAGCTCGGAATGGATTGTGGTGTGGAGCCAAATGCGCACTGCGGCAATGGCTCCGAAGCTTTCAATGTAGGGAACTCTAGATTCGAAGTGAGAGGGGGACGACATTCTCCTCTTGACGGCAGGCCTTCTGAAGACCCGGCAGAAGAAGATTTCCAAACAAGTGTACGACGGCCAGCAGCATAACCTTGAGCAAGCATACCTTTCGGAGCGCCTGAAGGTATTGTGGAAGGTGAGAAAGCTGGATAAATGGGCACTGCATGGGCCGGCGAACTCGCCCTGAAGAGAAATCGTCACAACTCGTTTCACGTGACAAAAATATCCCAAACCGCACTTCGCAACAGAATTAAACAGTTTTTCGAAGGCTAGAAAGCGACGAATCAAAAAATTTTACAGGGTGAAGACCACGCTGAAGGTTTCGTGCCCTTCCGATCTAATGATGCATCACAGCTTTCCGAGCCAGGTGAACTTGATACAGTACCGTGGTCTGCGCATCACCAAATCGGTGATGCGCCTTAAACAGCAAAGTATGTGTCCAGGAGAAGGAAACAACCGTTGTAGTGTTGACGCCAGCAACATGTCGCATAAACGACTTGCAAGATATGGGCAAATCGACCTATCCAGCTTGCTTTTCACAGCGCACTCACAGGATCTCACGCTCACAAACCACCAGTTTTCCAGCCATCTCGACAGCTTCTTGGGCAGAAAAAGATTTGAAAACAGAGATCTACGGTTCTTATACTTTTGAGTTCGTGCATTGATTCAGCGTTTCTTTTCATTTTTCTTGTTAAGAAAGACGCGTGGTTTCCAACACTCTTTTAAAAACTAGAAAAGTCGACTTTAAGCTGTGATATATTGCTTCGAAGACGGAGGTCAAAAACTCCCATCAATTTCTGGACAACCTAATATACATATAAGTAGTAGAGCACCAAACACTTGAAGAAAAAAAAAATTGTTTTTTTGGACACCAATGGAGTACGTTTGGTATCCTGGCTTGTTTTTTTTATGGTTTTTTGTTTTTTAAATTTTGTCTCAGCGCTATCAAGTAGTAATTTGGATTTGGCCTCATGTATGCAATGGATGCAAAGCCTATGAAGCCAAAAATCTTCATTCAGTAATACAGATTTCAAAGATCCTGAATCTTCGACCTCTATTTACACAGTCATTATCTAGAAACGGACGAAAATTATATCCATATGTTCAATAGCATATAATTTGTACAATACATGCAAATGGAAGACAAGTAAACCTGCAACAAGCAACGACGTTACTGGTCTGTGAAGTTATTCCAATGTACTGCTACAAATCAGGCCGCGTTCACCCTTGGCGTCCGAGTTATCAGAGAATTTGCGAAAATTAAGAAATGCGGAACGGTCAGAATAATCGGAACAGGCGAAAGAAAGCATCTACGAAAATGATCAGTAACAGTTTGATTGGTTTGGGTATCTTGCTCTACGAAATATCTTGTCACCCCAGACAAATTTCCGTCGATGTGGCAATCAATATGTTTTCATCTGATCCTTTTCGCAGATTCTCCCATTCTGTCAACTCTCTCAAAGGCGGAGCGTGAACACAACCTTATTGGTTGCCTTTTTGGTAGCGTGACCCGAAACAGCACCATAGATTGAATAGGGTCCAGTTTTCAAAAAACTCGTCGCTTTGTCAAAAAAAACTCGTTGATAAGATTCCTAATCACTGTTCATAGCGGTCATTCATGTCATGGTAATCTGTAGAATCTTCTATTGCTACGCACCACAATAACGAATAATTAGCCATGGAGTAATGAGACAAGAAGACCGTAGCCTGTGAAGCAGTGCGGGAGAGATTCGCTTCATGAATTTAAAGTGAACACTCTAGCGACTAAACCTGTCATATTTGAAAAGCTCTAGTATAATCATTACTACTGTTTCAAATGAGTGCAGAAATAGCATTTGACTGAAGGAGTACCAATCCGATCGCTCATCACCCGCTACTTCAGACAATAACACATGTTTTGCTTTTGTTCTTCAGCTGTCGATTTGCTAATCTTCGTTGAGCTTCTGTTGTAGGCTGAGCTAGCGAAGACTCTGATGGCTGGAAGAAACAACCTGTATTCGTGAGAATTTGTAAGAATCTTGAACTCATGGTCAAATTCATAGCGAATGTATGTCTATAAGGTGAGCAAATGATTGCAATGATTGTGCGTGATAACGAGTTTTCTGCATTTTTGAAATAAATTCTGGCACTTCATACAATTTACTGCAGTGAGCCGTAGTTAGGATGCTGAGATAGACATGCGACTGGAAGCGGCCAAAAGAGGAAAATGTCAGAATTTCATGCCGACTGTCCCGTTTAACTGGAAGCCCGAGAATAGTGAAACGGTAGTATGAATACGTGCTGGGAAAGGCACTGGATCTCCTATACAAAAATTCACACAATTCTAAAGCGCAGGGCAAGCGGTTACGAAGAAGAGCGTCCGTTAGGTATGCCTCGTTTGAATGAATGGCATGGGAGAAGATTTCTTGGTTAGAACAAAGTTCACTGTTCTTGTCGGGAGTTGCCTGAACAGTGAATCGTGGGAAGACTCGGATCAATCCAGGGAGAAGGAGAAGACGCACTTCTCTACTTACCTACTTTTGAGATTATTCATTTACTTATGTGCTTTTTTATACTCTTTCGAAAAGAATAAATGCTGAGTCGCTGAAAAATCGCCTACTCTTTACTCTGCTTTCTTTGTTGCTTGTGGACTACCCGCCTAAGAAAAAGAAGAAATAAACTATTCCCGCCAAACGTTGCAGTCAGGCAGTGATCCACATCTACGGTTCATTAGAATCATGCAAAGCATCTGCATCTCCTCTCATAGGTATAGTTCCTAGAGTATTTTCATTCAATTTCATTTTGATATTAGTCTGGAGGCCGGAGCCATGCCTATTGGTCTTTCGACCAAGCATAATGATTAATCTGATTAGTATAATTTATTTGATTAGGAAACGAACCGGCTCTTTGACAGCTGTTTGCACTTGATACTGTACGATACGGTATGTTCCGATTAGAGCATTCCTCGGACCACGCTCGTTTGAGTCTTCAAGCATCTGTTCTGTGATGCCGTAGCTGTTCATGATGGTCCACACCTTCAACAGAGGCAAAGTTTCGAAAATTGTTCTTGTAATTGTACTGAAGACTCTGAAATCTTGTGCAGCAAACTCTCTTTATAGAGCACACCTTTTTCGAAATTTCAGATTTCTTCTCCTCGTCTTCTTCCTGGTAAGTGCGTAAATTGAGATAAGTAGAGGGGAATCGAGATCCTCGTAACCAGATAGATTTCTGAAATGATCATTTATTTGTTTGATGCATTCTCCCATTTTAGGCATCTTGTCTATGTTCAATCTATGCTTCGGACTTTGACAAACAGCATGTACATAAAGTTTAGAGGGGAGTTCTCTCATCCAAATCATTGGAAACATTTTTCAAGAAATTTGGGTCTGTTCAATTCTAAGTATTTGAAACTTTACTTCCTACTTACTTACTTCTTTTCCCACTAGGTCGACGAAGGCGGCTAGGGTGGGCATTATTCGGTTATCAACACGTTGACGTCAGAGTGAAGCGCATGCGCGTCGGACCTATGAGGCCGCACTGGATAGTGTGACACGCATGCGCGCCAGCATATTGGTACCCTTTTTTCCTCAGATGCCAGACATCCAAGAATTTTGCGCTCATTCCATAGGCCATACACTAGCATACTCAAAATCCACGTGGCTCGCAGAAAGGTCACACTATTCTCCAATTTGGCAGAGTTTTAAAGGCTCTACGAAAATTCGTGTTCAGTTCATTCCTCATTTTCTTTTCATTAACACGAACATGTAGATAAAAAAGAATATTAGAAGTGAGTACAAACTATCGTGTGGCAAGATATGTGTTTTTACTGAAACAACCACGTCCAAATAATTTTGAAACCACTAAAGCGAAAAGTAAGTAAAATTTGCCTTTTCATGGCATAACACGTCAATTGATGGAGCTTCCATTACTATAAATCCCGGTAAGTAAGACATACGGAAAAATATGCACCAACTTTTGAGACAACCAAATAACTATATGCTCACTTACCCTGATGTCCTCAATTTTCGGCCTTTTGAACGGATCTTTCGAAAGCATACTCTCAATGAGCATTCGAGAAGAGTGCTCGAGATACATTGGTAGGTTGAAAGTGCCTTGAAGAATTGCCTAAAGTAATAATTGTAAACATAACCATTCAAAACTTTAAACCCTATAATGCTTTTCTGAAAAACTTTGACTGCAAGGTCAGAAAATGATCATACATTAAAGGCAAATTCCGGGATTTCTGGCGAAATTTAGGTTTTCCCCGTCAAATATGCAGCAGTACGCAAGGGCAGACCATGTGCAGAAGTGGCGGGGCGTTTTGATAAGGTTTAGGCGCTAGGAGCCTAGGTTGGAGCATTGGCGCCGCCCCAACCCCATTGAGCCCGCCCACCGTCCTACGTGATCTTCCAAACAACCACCTGGAACGCTAGATGTTAAGCCGTTGTTTGGAAAGTCGTAGGGGAATATTTAGCGGATTTCAACTGCGAAAATCAACATCAAAGCCTATGTTACGACCATTTTCGAGAACGTTGTCATCATTCTAGTGAGAAGAAAAAATTTTAAGATAGGAAGCAAACAAAAAAAGCACAGAAAAATAGAAAAAATAGGGAAACTAGAAAAATCAGTTTTCATTGCTGACTTTTTGTGGCCGTGTCGGTTGATGGCACAAAGCCAACAGTTGCTGTAGACATGTCCAAACACGTAATTTTCCCAGCCCTGGTTCGTAAGCGACTAACGAAGAGGAATTTCTAATTTTGGAGTTCTTTGGAGGTATTTCCTGCTTTTTTTCATCACCTTCGAACAACTCTTCACACTCGAACAGGTGAGTCCCTCGTTTTATCCCGGAGTTTGCCTTTAAGGGAAGTTAGTACGGTAAGTGATTGGGCGCCGTAATAGTACGTGCAACACTGGGAGCGGTAACCGGGCACCCAAGCAAACGAGGCCTGCGTTTTTTCGTTGGATTAGCACGTTGGACTAGCTGCAGCCTAGTAAGGCTTAATCTAAAAACCGTGACGCTCCAAAACGGTTCCACCCGAAATGTGTTGCCAGTGGGAGCAACAAAAGTCGGGTGTGCGATTGCATTTCATTTCGAGGAAGCATTTCACTTCAAGCGGCTGCATTGAGTCTGTCTATTCATCGTGATCGCTGCCTTTCACGACGCCTTCAAACTATTATTAGTTTATTCACTTTGAATGCGGAATCTCGAATAGAAGGCAGCCTGTTAGAATCAAGGTAGAAGTGGTCAGCGGTAGGCGAAGATAAACCATGAGAGAAGGCCCAGAACACGAGCAATGGGATCCTCTCTTTGTCCGTTGATTTACGCATTGATGCGACTCTCATCGCGTGTTTTGCCCTCTTCAACGCTAGTGTATCTTTCTTTTCTCTCTCTGCTAACGCTAGAGACACTGAGGCGCATCGCATGCTGCCGCATCTATCCTTTAGAAATTCGATGACCTGATTCCCCTTCCTCGACCTCGACCTTATCGTGGAATCCTCCTTCAATGGGAACTATTTGAATAGCAATGTTTCAGGTCTTTTGTAGAATTTGCGCAACGGTAAATAGGTTAAGAGTACTGCAATCATTTTTGTACTGTACGCCACAACGAGGTTTTGTAAGACGAACCTTCCTGCCTTACGTTTCAACCGCTTCGTCTTCTTCAGAGGCCTGGAGATTGTCTGAAGCTTTTTGATTTGTAAGCTACTCGATCAACCGATTCTAGTATTCTCGACGTCATAGAGCGTCGAGAACACTTCCGAGCACTCAGTGATGAAGAAGTAACTCACCCAAGATTCCACCGATGCGGAGCAGTAGCTCACGCCCTGTGTTAGTTGACGTCAATGAGGCAAATGAGCTCTACTCAAGTCTCGCAGTGTCATATATGTCAAAATCTGTCAATTTGCACGTCGCACTCATAGCTCGCACTTTGAAACAAAAGGCAAGAGCTCATTCGTAATCGACGGACATTCGTTTCGGCCATTCATTCTAGGTTTCCTTGCGAAAATCCAGAATGATTCCAAAGCTTTTCTGGATGAAATCTCAGTCTCGTACGCTAACACAGAACATTTAACATCAAAGTCGTTCCCGCTGTGCTCCTCAATCTTGTGCTTGCCAAGTGGGTAGCTACATTACCACGTCTCTTCCCAGCTAAGTGCTCTTGAATACGGATACCTAGTGCTCTCCCAGTTTCTCCGAATATATGTGCTATTACAGACCACACATTCAATTTGATAAATCACCCCAACCTTACCACAATCCCCTGCCGTGCCATTTGGGCAGATAATGCAGTCTGATGTCACGCACTGCCTGTCATACAGTCTGTTTCGAACAAGCTGCCGTTTGATATTACTATTAGGAATGTTCACTAATATGACATCATCTTGCAGCCCTGCTCTTACAATACTGTGATGCATTGCGGCGCTGACTCGATCGGAGATGAAAGGGAGGCACAAAGGTAACTTGCATTGGCGTGGTAGATGCCGCTGTTGGCCAGCACTCGATCTCGTGCGGTGCATTGGTACCGGATAGCCGTTTTCAGCAGCTATTTTCAAAGCTAGCTGCCTTGATTCCTGTCGCTCTTGATCACTAGAACACATCCTGGTTGCTGTTCTGATCATATTCTTAATGACTGCATTTTTGACTGCACCAGGATGAGCCGATGTTGCGTGAATCAGGATGTTTTTGCAGCTAGGTTTGCGGTACCACTTTATGCTAGCAGTGCCATTAGACAGCTTGATTTGCGTATTCAGGTAGGGCAGCCAATCGTTCTTTGGTACTTCTCGTGTGAGCTTGATGTACTGTGACTGCTCATTAACCGGAAGCATTCATCCATTTCCGACTGTGTTGATGTTACAACGAAGCAGTCGTCGATGTATGTGCAGTACATCAATGATTAACATTAATGTACTGCAGACAGATCAATGTATTGATGTGCTGCATTGATACATCAATCAATGACATTGATACATCAATGTCATTGATTGATGTATCAATGCAGTACATCAATCAACGACATTCAAGAGCACTTAGCTGGGAAGAGGCGTGGTAATGTAGCTACCCCACTTGGCAAGCACAAGATTGAGGAGCACAATGGGAACGACTTTGATGTTAAATGTTCTGTGTTAGCGTTCGAGACTGAGATTTCATCCAGAAAAGCATTGGAATCATTCTGGATTTTCGCAAGGAAACCTAGAATGAACGTAAAAAAACGAAAAAAAAAAAAAAAGGAAACCTAGAATGAACGGCCGAAACGAATGTCCGTCGATTACGAATGAGCTCTTGCCTTTTGTTTCAAAGTGCGAGCTATGAGTGCGACGTGCAAATTGACAGATTTTGACATATATGACACTGCGAGACTTGAGTAGAGCTCATTTGCCTCATTGACGTCAACTAACACAGGGCGTGAGCTACTGCTCCGCATCGGTGGAATCTTGGGTGAGTTACTTCTTCATCACTGAGTGTTCGGAAGTGTTCTCGACGCTCTATGACGTCGAGAATACTAGAATCGGTTGATCGAGTAGCTTACAAATCAAAAAGCTTCAGACAATCTCCAGGCCTCTGAAGAAGACGAAGCGGTCGAAACGTAAGGCCAGTAAATAAAGATTCCATCTTAAAAACCTCGTTGTGGCGTACAGTACAAAAACAATTGCAGTACACTCAACATCAAATGCCGAGGTTTCAACAAAGGACGACATGGAGGACTGGGTAAATAGGTTACTTTATTAATAGGTACTATTTTTGGGTAATTTCTGATTAGCGGTTTTAGTCTTGGAAAAAGATGATACACCGATATTTCATATGGCTATATGTTCTTGGCAAAATAATTCCCCCAGCCAAAACTTGCATACAAGCTCCTCGTTTTTTTATTCCAAATGATGAAAGGTCTTTTTTAAGAATGGGCAGTGGCAAAGTCTAATGACCGTGGTGTTTGAACGGATACTCTATTCCGAGACGAGAAGAAAATCGAGTGCAGACCACACATCATAAGAGACGACGGCCAAGAGAAAAGCGGCTTTTTTTTCTTGGCCGTCGTCTCTTATGGTGTGTGGTCTGCACTCGATTTTCTTCTCGTCTTCCGAAATCGAGGTACGTACATACACATAGCATGTGAGGAAATTTTTATACTTTAACAACAGCTGAGCATCTCTATGAGCAACAGTTCCTAAGTTCAAAAAATTGCATGGATGCTATTTTTTCACGGACTTGTTGGTTGTAAACTAAAGTGCTCACCGTCTTCAGCTCGGGTACGGTTTCGCCACGGAATGGTGTGACTCCAATCAACATAAAGTGAAGTAAGACACCCAATGCCCAAATGTCGACCTTTGGACCGTTGTAGCTTTCATCGCTGAAAAAAATGAACATGTAAAAATACGAGTCCCAGTAACTGCAAGATTAATCTAGCCATTTCCTCGCATTACCACATAGAATGCAGAGACGGCGGTAGGCGATCAGATCAATGGATCTTGCTTATGAATTTGCTGGGTCCGCAATCGTAAGATCAGCGCCACTCTCGCCACTCAAAGCGCGCAGAAAAGTGCGCTCTAACCTTAGAACTCACAGCGTTGGCCTCTCTAACACGTAGCGGACATGAGGGTTTTTCTCGCGTGTGCCACCATATGCCGCAAGGCGCCGCACGGGGAAGGAATCATATAGGCTTATGCGAACAGAGGGGTTGAAATGGGGCTTAATGTTCCCGTATAATCCTTCAAGAAAAGAGATTCCCGTTGACGACAAAATCGTAACTCGCCTTTCAGCTCTGAATCTAGGGTGCAAGAGATGAATGGGAGCTGCAGGTGACATCTTCGAATAGTGCGAAACAGCCCTGAGTGAGGAAAGTGGCTATATCGGGGGAAGGGGTCTCGACGGGTGGGGATCATGGGTAAGCCATTCCATCAAATAGAAAACTTATGTAAATTAAGACAAAATGTATGTAAAATTTATTGTAGGTTTGTCAAAAATCCAGCCGTCCAGGTCCTGGGAAGATATGTTATTCCACATTGCTGAGAGTATATATGGGTATATTAAGATTGCTAGAAACATTCCAAAAACAAAAGAAATAATCGTGCGCCACCATGTGGCGCACGTCCGTCCGTTACGTGTTAAGCAATCGTGCACGCCCACCGTTGCGTTCTCTCTTGTCTCGCACCGCTTACGCTCTCTCTGCGCCGCCTATCGCGCTCTCGCCTCGCCACACAGTGTTTCTTAAAGTGGCCGTCTCTCAGACTCTATTACTACCCACAAAAGAGAAGGGCTTATTTAGCGAGATCGTCATGAGGCAGCTGTAGCCAATTTGCAGCAGTTGCTGCTGATAGCGACTGGCATGGCTGTAGCCACCGAGCAGAGTGAGGTTGTCATGACGTAGTGACTAAATGCACTCTATCTGTATCGACGTGAATAGCTCAAGAAGCTGAATCCTACACATGCATCTCAAACAGATATATCACCCCGTCCGCTCTTGTTTGACTGAACATTTATGGCCGTGAGGAATAAAATAAATAAGAAAAGCAACAGAAAAACTAAATGACGCCGTAAATGAAAGGTTAACTGACCGAAAAAGCTCAGGCGCTGCGTAAGGAGGACTGCCGCAGAAGGTCTTCAGTTGTTCAGCAGCTGACGGCAACATGCAGGAAAAGCCGAAGTCGACCAGTTTCACCACTCCAGGAGCTGAGAACATGATGTTTTCGGCTTTGATGTCCCGATGAACAAGATTGTTCTTGTGCTGAAAAAAGAGAGTATTATTCCTAAAAACTAATTAAATAGTAATAAAATGAAATATGGTAATCGAGCAAATACGCTTTTACAAGCCTTGCAAGCTCGCACGAGCACGGAGTTTTTACTACCGTTGTAGGAGATAAGCGGCAAAAGCCTTGTAGGTCACAACTTCTTCTACTCAGAGGCAAGCAAAAAATGAGGGAGTTCTCTGGGGCTAATGAATCATACCTAAAGAAAAAATGCAGGACCCACCCCCGAAAAGGCCTAAAAGAATGAACTCTTCTTCGTCTTACTTACTTCCCAATCTTAGCCTGGGAGGCTGCGGTCTGAACGTGGTCCAGCTACTGGCTCCATGCCAATAACCGACACGGCCACAGAAATCGGGTGGAAATTGATTTCTACAAATTTTCCTATTTTTCTGCTTTTTGTTTGTTTTTCTCTAAATTTCGGACTCCTGTTCAGAATGAGTAGCCAAAGTTCCCGAATGGCCGTAACATAGACTTTGATGTTGCACTTCTAGGCGAAATCCGCAAAATATCCTCATACGACCATCCAAACAACGGCTTGACATCTAGTGTTCCAGGTGTTGTTTGAAAGGTTGCGTGGAACAGTGGGCGGGCTCAATGGGGTTGGGGCGGCGCCAATGCTCCAACCTAGGCGCTTAGCGCCTAAACCTTGTCAAACCGCCCCGTCACTTCTGCACATGGTCCGCGCTTGCGTACTGCCGCATATTTGACGGGGAAAAGTTAATTTTCGACCGATTATCCCGAACTTTGCCTTCACACGAAAAGTTCGTGAATAGGAGGTGCCACATTTTCAGATGAGTTGAGCGTGAGTAAGAGGAATGAACCATAACGTTGATGAAATACCATGGAGCCCTTGTCCAACTTTTGCACTCAGGTCAGTTTCAAATCTGTGCACTATTTTCGATGGTAAGGCCCAGGGGACGAAATCGCGAATGATAGTGCTAATCGATAATGATTGGAGAGCAGATTGAAGGCCAGAATTGGGCCACTTCCGATTCGGAACTGTATAAGAATGGCGGACAAGGGCTGGTGATGTGCCAGGGTCAGCCGTCAACTTGTTCCAAATGCCGAAATTTTCACGACCTCTTCCCTTTGGGAGCTTTCGGTGCGACTCTCTCCACCACCGAGTCCCAGAATCGAATACTACAGAAAAAGCCATGAGTGAGGGGGCATATAGCTTCCATGGGCTTTTTCTAGATAGTATTCGATCTGAGACTAGACAATCTCTCCGCCCACTCTTTCCCTCCAAAATGGCCGCCGTCGACCGGGGTCGATCCAAAAGTTGATCCAAAAACAAATCCCATCAACAATCTCAAGAAAAGAAAACTCGCCTCATCCAACCTGACAACCTACTAACCTTCACGAACCTCTATTACGACCACCCCTCTTGATACTCAAGTACGACCCCTTTCTCGGGAACCGCACATCGCCAGTTGACCCTAGTTATGCTCCCCGTTAGTGGCCTGAGAGTCTTGAAAAGGTGCAACAAGGACGCTAGAGACTCTCCAAACCTGCAATGTAGCCCGTTCGTAAGCTGTCGGCAGCAACTCCGACGCCGCTAAAAGAACATGGCCGAGATTCGCGCAGCGCCAACATTGAGGCTGTGCAGACAGCACCGCGCTCGTGGTTGAGAAACTTCGTCCCAACGCGCACGCCTACCACAATGACCTCGTCCAGGGCTGCTGAAAGAGGGTTTCCATGTGGGAGTTCCTCAACAGTTTTGCTTTTTCTTTACTTACCAGTAGCTAACCATAAGCACTCACAACTTCGCATTTGACTGTGATTACCCCATTCTTTAACCGCAACTTTTGCCAAAACGAAAAACAGTACCATATGTGAGACGGCTGCGACAATCTGAGCAAACAACGGCTTGGCCTCATTCTCGGTCAGCTTCCCTCGTTCGTGAACGTATGCATAGAGTTCACCACCACCAGCGTATTCCAGCACCAAATGCGTCCTCGTTAATGTTTCCACACACTGTAAACCTCCAAAATTTGTCAGCCGTATACAACGTCGCCAAGATCCGGACATCACCTCGAACAGTCGAATAATATTTGGATGATGCATCCGTTCCATTGCTTTGATTTCTCGTTCAAGTAATCGTTGCGCCTTCGTGTCCATTTTCGTTCGATCCATAATCTTCACCGCGACTTTTTCTGAAGATACAAATTATTGAGAAACATTCTTGTGCACAACCAGAAGACACTTGATTTTCTGATGTGATGCTCAAAGGGTGGAGGTGGTGTATTGGCAAGCCTTGGTGCGCGATGCGGGGTTCAAGTCCCCGATCATGTCTCCAAGTAAGTAATGTACCAGGCCAAGTAAGCCGCTTCCATTTGTACATTCGTAGTGGCGTTTGAATGCGACGTGCCTATACATGAATTGCGGGGCCACCCGCCGATGTACAGCTCAGTGTTTTCATCCTCCTCCCCCCCCCCCACAATAAGTCTGGACCAAATTTAACTGCTGCGATGCTTAATGAATGCTTCAAGGTGCTACTTTATTTTGAGTCAACTGGATAGCCTCCTTACTTCACCTTTTGTAAGTATTCATTTGTTTTTTGCTGACCCTGGAGGGATGGAAGTCTTGGTTGGCCCTGTCGACTCACGACCCAAGATTTGGTCTCGGACCGCTCGCGTGGTAAGCGTGCTAACTGCCATTACACCACTACCGCCCTTACGACCTTCGCCATCAATTGCTCTTGAAATATGTATTTGGCATAGACCAGTCAGCAGTCCAAATTGTCGCACCGTTTTTTACCTCCAAAACGACCGTTGAATCGCGGGATGACGAAAATTCAAACACCCACCCCTCGCCACCATTATTTCTGTCTTGATTACCATATAACCTTTGAGTACCCTAAAATCCCATAGATAAGAGCGGTCCATAGATATTTTTTCAAAAATAAAATAAAAATAAAAATATTTTTTCAAAATCATTTTTTACCGGTAAATTAAACCGCTCTTATCTATGGAATTTTACTGATCGAATGGGCTCTTCAAGTTCTATCCAGAGATCAAATTCCGGCATTTCTAGAGAGATTCCGGCAGAAATTCCGTTAAATCGCTATTTTTCTATATGAATTGTTTATTAAGTGGGCGGGGTTTAGAGTTGAGGGACGGAGCTTCTTCTAAACTTCTTCTCCGATTTTTATTTATCCATCCATCAAGTTAGAGGGGTGACTGCATTCAATTTCAATTTCATTCCAATTCATTTTTCACCGGTAAATTAAACCGCTCTTATCTATGGGATTTTAGGGTACATAGAATAACCGCCGCCTTCATGCCCTTTTTGACCTTCAGCAATTCCAAATAGACCATCTCTTCGCCCTCGACTTAAAAACGCTCTACGCAACTGTTGACCTCGCTCGCAAGAAGTGACATGTGTACGAAGCCCAATTTCGCATTCAGTGCATTGCGCTAAATGCGAAAGTATAAGGCGTGGGCGCGATCCGAATAAGTGAATAGCGCGAATGCTTCATGATGCTTCGAGAATGCTTCACATTGATTAGCCTACTTATTTCTTGAATCGACTGGATACGTGCCTCCTTTAGCTTCACCTTGTTTGTAAAGTTTTGCCATTGTTTTTTTGTTCGCGTAATAGATCGTAGAGATTAGGCCACCTTTAGTTAGAAGCATGTGATTCCTAGCCTTCACTTTGCAGAAATTCCGTGCCACCCGAGCTCTTTGACCTAGTTCGATAAAAACCTTCCTGTTTTCTCCGCAAGTGCATCACGCTTAAACACAGTTAATCGAATTACCTTATATCAGATCAGTCTAAAGCGAACTCTCGATTAACGCCAGTTTCAGAGAGTAGAGATGCCTCCTTGAGAGCTTTAAACGTCATCCTCACATCATCGCAAGGCATCCCTTTTAAAGGACGAATTCACGATGAAAAGCAACCCATTTCAAATTAACCTAGGGATGGTGAGTGGTACACGAAAGAAGGAAGAACCATGAGAAACGGCCCAGAACCCGAGAAATGGGACCCCTTCCTTGCCCGTTGATTTGAGCATTGATGCGACTCTCATCGCTGTGCCCTCTTCAACACTACGCTCTCTCAGCTATCTAATCACTCGCCACGTATTGAACTACGGCGAGTGATCAGATGATCGGTGGGCGGAGATCGCCGGACCCGCCAGCTTTGAGGCATGATAGGTCGCCGAGGTCAAATTTTTCCATGCGAATTGCGCGTCAGTTCGCACCCTCAGGAGGTCCGTGGGTCCCTCAACTAGGTCAGTTTCCCTTTCTTCGACCTTCATTTCTAAATCGGTGAATAACTTCCTTTTTTTCCCCCTTTTGGGAGAGGAAAAATAGAAAAATTTGACCTCGGCGACCTATCATGCCTCAAAGCTGGCGGGTCCGGCGATCTCCGCCCACCGATCATCTGATCACTCGCCGTAGTTCAATACGTGGCGAGTGATTAGATAGCTGAGAGAGCGTAGTGTTGAAGAGGGCACAGCGATGAGAGTCGCATCAATGCTCGAATCAACGGGCAAGGAAGGGGTACCATTTCTCGGGTTCTGGGCCGTTTCTCATGGTTCTTCCTTCTTTCGTGTACCACTCACCATCCCTAGGTTAATTTGAAATGGGTTGCTTTTTCATCGTGAATTCGTCCTTTAAGTGCGGAAGCTTTCTCTATGCCATATGAACAGAGTAGTAAGAGAAATGAATGCACACCTCTTTTTGATAGATAGGGTCTACTGCAAGCATGTGAAGGGTCCTATCATAGATGCTCATTTGTGAGAGCTCCTCCAGGCGATCATTCACAGGGAGTGACTGAGCGGAGACTGTTCGTGTAAATGTGTCCTCTCGAGGCTGAAATTTGTCAAATTAGCTCGCGCAACTGCAAAAACTTCACAATTCTTCCTACATAGCGAGGTTTGTGCGTAGGCGCCTCATCGTGGCTCCTTCTGCTGGGCACAAACTTTCCAACTTTTCCTCCAGGTTCTTCAACTTCTTCCTCCTGTTCTTCCACTTCGGAATGCTCGCTTTCCTCCTGAAGGTTCTTTGGTTTTTCATTTCTTCACAGTTATTTAGTTTCTGGATTTTAGTTGAACTCACATTGATAGAAACGTACGTGGGCGGTTCACTTCGCACCACCCGTGAGTCGGCTTTCACTCGTGCCACCATCATGGTTCGTATCTTAAAGAGCATAAATGTAGATTTTCACCTCTGTTTATAAAGTGCGATCTAACTACTCGTTCGGCACGAAATCATTGATTGGGCCAGTCCGGTTGAAGCTTTTTGCAAATAGGCAGAACAATGGTAAGATCAGATCTCGTTTGATGAGGAGTTTATATTCTCTTTGTTGCCAAGCCTTCGCACCGATGTAGTGACGGCCCACATCAATTTCAAAATTGGGTATTCTCCTTCTAGGGTTACAGGTGTTCTTTTAGCCAACGTTCATATTTTTAACGACTTATGTGATAGCTGCATGTCTATTCCTCCGCTAACATATAAGTCTGCAGAAAGGACCTAACACTACGGGAGACTAAAGATTTGTGCGCGAATTTGAGTTTATGGGGGGTAAGAATTTGTGATTTTTTGCAGATTTTCGCCTTCATTGTTGCATATTTATGATTTCAGAACGTGCTGAAGGCATTGGAGATCGACGCGTTCTTTTGCTGAGGGAGCGACTTCAGTTAAAGGTGGATATGAAACTGTGCCGGAGAAGGTAGGATAGGGAACTGACTCATCAGGGTGCAGTATGGCCGTCAGACGGCTTAAATTTTTTTCATATCAGCATAACAGCAGGTCATGAGATATTAACTTGTAACGTCGGACGAGGTTGATTAGTTCTGTTTCTTTGGCATTCGGACTGAGCGTATCTTTGGCCGGAGCATTTTAGTTAGTCGCTTGTTGCTACTATAAGAAATGCAACTTTCTGGAACTGAGACGTCAGGCATCTATGGTGAATGTTATAAGAATGTAGGGATGGATGTCAAAAGAAGAAATACGAGAAATATGAGGAAAGACTGATGGATGAAGGGTAGAGAAACACAAGATGATTGACTCGATTCAATTGGCGTTTTCTGGGTTCTCGACTTCTTTTCGTGAAGTATCGGATACGGAAAACAGTGACATCAGCCAACGTTTACAATACGATAGGAGTATCATTTATATTACAGGGGCATCAGGTGATGGAGTGCGCCTTAATTCATTGCCGAACGAGAAAACTGTTCGCGCGAAACTGGGGAAAGTAGAGAAGAGGAGGTGGCCAATAAATTCAGGGAGAATGATTATTAAGATAGACATGGGGAAATGTGAAAGTTAGAGGGAAGGGCGACAGGACAAAAGTTGAGTAACAATGGAGATAGGAAGAATCGAAACAAAGTGAAACGAAGTGGTAACAAGTGGTAACGAAAGGGCAGAACGAATGATCATCATATCACAAAGGGTCCTGTTTGGTCATTTTGGCTAATATGGACTAGAGCCTCCTCGTTCATTCACACATTCAGTGCACAACATCCTATTAGTCGGAATTATCGGCTGTTTGCCGGAAAGATTTCTGCTGGCAGTAATTGAACTTGACTTGAATTTCTCTATTTTCAAATTCAGCTGCTTGATTGATTAATCTAGCCTTAAAGACACAGCGCTCTCCTATCAGTTCTAAAAAATGCTCAGAAGGTCATCATCATTGCAGAAGTGCTAAACGACTGCTATGTGACTCTGTCTCAGCAAACAGAAAGCTGCACCATATCTGTAACATTTACCGCTCTCAAATGATGCCTTGTTGATAAATGAGGTGAAATGATGAACACTGATAAAACTTCCATCGAATTTCGATGGCGAATTCGATCAAATTTGGAGTGTTGGGTTGGAACACAATATCGTAGCGCTCGCGTTAGGTGAAAACGTTTGAAAGCAAAACCCAGAAGCAAGCTAAGCATGAAACCAAGCAGTGAGGTTCTTTCCGTCGTTCTTTACTACTTTTACTCCATTTCGCAAGAAATTGAGGGTCGACTGGAGTAAGGTTCGATGATGACGATGGATTCCGAAAAACTCCTATTTTGGCAGCTTTTTCTTTATATAGATTTTCGCCCACCTTGATTCTCCAACTTCTAAGCGCCATATCTGAGTACACTTACAGTATAGAAGAAAATGCAAACAAGGTATTGTAGAGCAGAAGAAGTACTTTCAAATGATATATGTGATTTCCTGGTAATACTTGTATTCACTGAATTTGTAGCTCGAAAAAAACGCTACGATATTATGCTCCAATCCCATTACTTAGTGCCTCTGAACCCCCCAATTAAGGTGATGTATGCCGATCCTGTCTCTTGCAGAAAGTATGTATTATATCACCTCTCTATCCCTGCTTGTGTCAACCAAACTTGTTAGCTCCCAGTAGATAGTCCACGTAAGCACCTCTGGGCCACCCTTTCGCGTTCTTTGCTA